TTTGACAGAAAGAGAAAGAACATTTTAAAACTTGAAAAGCTCCTTCTGGTTGGTACATCCTGCAGTTATTCTGTGTACAAACATAGGAGAAAGTATGTCTTCACACAGAGTAATTCACCAAGCCTGCCAGAGTTCAAGTTTAGACAGTGCTCTCAGGCACATGGTGTGATTCTTGGGGATATCCTGTGCAGGGCCAAGAGTTAGATTACATGATCCTCATGGGTCCCTTCCCCTCCAAATATTCTACAATTCTGTAATCACATTGATCACCTTGTTAAAAGCTGAAGATTATAATTTTTACTTCTTTTTTTTTTTATAATGGCACTTTTCCTCTCTCACCAAAACCAGGATCTGTATTCTAACTCCCAGCGTTGTTCCTGATGTTTTTACATCCTGTTTATGATTTCTTTATGATAATGTTCTGTTATGACTTATTTACAGCTTTGTTTTTTCCCTTTTGACTCCTCATCCAAATTTATTGTAGAAATTACTTTCCAATATGGAACTAACTGCATATTTGGAAAAATGGAAACTTTATGAAAGTAAGGTACTTCAAATTTGTGTACTTTCCAACCAAGCCGTCTCTATAGCAGGAAACTGTATATTGTGCCTGTGTTTGCCCACAGACGCTATTTCCTCTTTTAAGGTAATAGTCTTTGTATTTGAGGTAGTCAGTCTTTACACAGATCTTTGTGCGTGTATGATGATATTCTTGATTGTTAGGGCCTGAAGATGACTCTGAGTGTACCCACATCAAAAAATTGTCAGGTTTTACTGCTGTATTTGTAGAACAGTGCAATGTGGTTTAGCACTCATATTGTTCTCCTTCCTATAGACAGAGGCTTGTTGTAATGATGCTTTGCATAAATTTGATTTTGTTCTGGTACTATGGCACTCTCTCAATGATTAAAGCAGTACTTTGAAACAATGGTTTGCATTGAAATAGTCTTGAAAAACTTTATGGAAATTTGTGTGATCATTTATTATCTTATTATAATAAAAAATTATCATGATTAGACATTAGTTTAGCCATGTACTTAGTACCATGTATGATCATTGTGGACATGGTCTGTTCTAGTATTGTGATAGGCCACCACATCATGTGATCTGATTGTTGAGTTTACTGAGCTTCACCCTGAAAGCAGGTTCATCATGCTGTCCATTTCTGTTGAGAAACATTTACAAATATCTCCTCTTTAGTGGGAAGTTTTCCTCTTAATTTATTTAGGGTTAGTTTATACCTGTTTAGTCTATCAGTATTATTCTTTATTTCAAACAGCTCCCTCTTGTCTTTGGCATTGACCCACGCTATAGTTACAGAGCACAGTTTTATTCCATTCAGACATTGTTTTGTTCAGTTACCTGAGCAATTTTTCTCCCTGCTGAAGTTGTAGGCTCCCATTCATCACTCTCATCTGAGTGGTCCTTCTCAGCACCTGACATGCTTCCTCTTTTCTTTTATCAATAATTAGAGAACAGTGTATTCTACTATTGACTTGCATGAAGATTGTTTTCCCTTCTTCTACTGAAAACAAGTTTAGAGGGTTTGGTGCCTACTGTAGTCAGTCACCATGCAGTCTAAATTCACTTTTCTGCCTCTTCAAATAGATTAATCCTACACTTGGAATAAGGATTCATCTTCACATTGAAAGGCATGTTCTTGGCCATCATGTTTAATCCTGTTCCTGTCCTTTCAGTCCGCAGGTTCATTCATTTCTTCCTCAAGTAATGTGGTCCTCCTTTCCATTGAAAGAGATGCTGAGAAGCAATCTTTGGTTGCTAAACAAAAATTAGGTCACTCCCTGGACCTGTATTCAAGGAATTCAGTACTGAAGTATGAGAATGCTGTGCAGAGTTAAGACCACGTCCATTCATGTGCATTCCTGTAACTTCTGATAAACTGTATTTCTTACAGGCACAACCTCTATATATTCTTTAATTATTTTCCATACCTTCTGCCTTGTGCCTTAGTTGCAATTTCTCTAACCTCTGTTTTTTCCAGGGAGGTAAATTGTATTATAACCATATTATTTTTAACCCCTTTTTGGGGGGGAAAAAAAAAAAGGAAATCTACTGAAAAAAAATTTGGATTTTGATAGTTCAATTTCCATATCTATTTCCTTCAATACTTGTTTCACTTCCTTGCTTGTTAATTAACTTTAGAGTTACGGGTCTGTGCTTGTGTCACCTTTTTCCTCTTTCTTGGTGTTCTTTGTTAATCTCTGTGCATATCCCACTGCTGTTTTTTGATGGAATTAGAAAAAAATCCCTTTTAATGAATTTATAAGCTATTCTGTGTGGACCTAATCCTGTAAAGACTAGCTAGATTTTTGTGAAATATGCACTCATAGGGACCTTGGGTTTGCAAGAGGCCTTGGAGTTTTTGTTCTCTGAAGAAGTAATTTTGCTAGCGGCATGCCAGAGGCCTTCTTTGTTCCCCTGCCCCCATTTCCCCTTTTAACAAAATTTACGCAACTTTCCATAAGTATGTTTGCAGATGGGCTTTGCCTAATCCATGCTGCAAATGCTCTGAAGAATATGGGCCAAAACGTGCAGAGGAGTGGCAGGAATTCACAGCTAGATTAGGTCTATGGTATTTCCTCTCTCAGCAAGATGGTCCTAGATTAAATACTCGTAAATTTTCAATAATTTAACATAATTATAGCTTTACAGGAGGTTTTGAAACCTTCCCTTTCTTGCTGAAGAATCTGTTTTCTGCATTCTTACATCCATCCAAAGTCTGTTACACTACTGCAGCTCACTTCTCTATCACGTGCCTTCCCAGTTGCAGATAGACATCATGGCATTTCTTTTGTTTGGCATTTTCATATTTGAATTTTTGCCAGGTTTTTGACAGTTTCATAACTGACCTTGAACAGTGACATTTATATAATGCCTAGTAACGTCTCTTGAAAATGGGCATAGTTGAGACTGCTTTAGAAAGCACAAGATTCACTATCCAGACTACATGGCCTTTACTCTACTTTTCGAGTCTGAATGACATCTTTGCATGATTTATGGGAAGACATGGTAATGGTCAGTGTGCCACTGAAAATGAGTCACTACCCATTGCAGTGCTCTGGTAATGTGGTAAAAGGTTAATGATTCCCCAAAGTATTTAAACATGAAAAAGGCCTTTTATATTGGTATAAACTTGTATGTCTTTGCAGGAGCTATTTTGATTTCAGCTGGGCTTCTTTTACATGGAGGAGCTTACTGTAAAGCTGACTAGAAGAGTAAGATCTCTGGCACATTTCTACTTTGCTTGTTATAACTTGGTGAAATTCATGAGTGTGCAGGAGATTATATTAAATCAATAAGGAAGTGATTTAAAGAAATTTGATAAAAATCAGATGTGATTTTTATCTGGTCAAGAAGGCTGCCTCAAACTGAGATTTGAATCTATTCTGTGAGAATTTAGAAAGAGCTAACTTATTAAAGGGAACTATGTGCACTTCTGCTTCATGTGTTCTGAAATAACCTTTTTTCCATTTGTGTCTGAATTTGCTGTAAAACTGCAAGGTATGGATTTTTGTTCCCAGAGGTGCTGTAATACTTTAGGATTATATGAGTATAGTTTGGTAGCTTTTGCTTTTCTTTTGGATGGATCTTGGCAAGTAGGACTTCTGAAAAATAGGTGCTTGAATTAGGGGTGTGATTCAGACAGGACCTGCTCACTCTTGTTCCTTGTTTTAGAATGTAAAATGCTTCTGAGGTTTTTCTGCTGAATAAAAAAGACAGAAATAGGGGCTTTTATAGGGTCTATACATAGCCTCATACATTGTATTTTTCATTGGGATATTTGAAATTAGAGTTTTAGTTTTATATGTATTTAACTGATGGTGTGTGAAAGTGTGCAGTTTATTTTATATAAGCAGCATTTTTCCTTTCTAAACAGATTTGCTCATTTTCCAAAATTGCATGGCATTTAATTCCCATAACATAACCTTTATTTTCAAAATTGTGATTTGTGGCTAAGCTAAAAAGCTGAATCTGCATCCTTTCTGCTGAGAGATGTGCCATTTCCTTACGCTTCACTTCAGCTTTGCAGTATTTCATTGTACCTTTGCATAGGCCTGCACAGTTTGAAAAAAACACATCTATATCAGACAGCAGCTCTCATACCCAGCAGCATTCTTGGTTTCTTCTTACTTTCTCTGGTCTCTGCAACAGGTGTCATTTCTTATCTTTGCATTGCATAGAATGGATCACAGAATGGTTTGGGTTGGAAGGAACCTACCTGGAATTTCACCTAGTTCCAAACCCCCTGCCA